TCAGTAGGGAATAAGAGAATATACTATATGGGGATTACGTAGGGACTATATTCCCTTATTCCCTGCAAAGAACCAGTAAACCTTACGCCCCAACCCTGAAGCATACTTTACCTGACAACCCAGGCCCTCAGCCAGCAACCTTCTTTTGGAGTTTCTGAAAAATAGTGTACCTTACTCCAATAATGGAGGATCACATGGAACATAGAATGGAGCATGAAATGGAAACCCTAAGGGGTATATATGATCCAGGGTTCCTACCCCCCCCACCCCCCACCCCCCCATGGCATGGGTCCCCCTATACAGGGGTGCCCGGACAGAAGTGTCCTGTCTACCCTACGTTTTCAGATATCAGGCCCTGATGTGCATCATATTTTTGTTTGATCCTTCCAGCATGTGTACACAGCCTTTGTGATTTCCTTACATGAGCTATAGTCTAAACTCCTTAAAGGGGTATGTAGGGGAGTATTATAAAGGTTATTGAGGGGGATGCTAGGAGTTTAGACTATGGCTCATAGACCCAGGAAGGCCATCGAGAATCGAGGCTCTCTCATTCGATTCCTGGCACCACTTGGTGCGCTGTTTGCAGTGGCGTTGGCCTGTTCAAACCAGGCCCGTGGGTTTAGGGCGGCTTCAAACCCAAAACCCTAGGGTTTGGGCTTCGTGGTTTACAGGTTTGGGGGTCCCAATAATAAGGACTATAGTACTTTGGGATCTATATTGGGGTCCCCTTATGTTCAGGGTGTAGGGGATACGGGTCCTTTCGAAAGAACGGGGATGCTGGGGATGCAGTGTGGGGTTGCAAGGGTCCCTCTTCAGGATCTCGCAAGAGGCTTGTTCGAGCAGCCTCTACACATAATGTTTATATATATATATGGAGCATATATATATATATATGGACATGTGAACTTTAATCATATATTTCTGCCCATATTTTTGTAAGAAGCCAGTCTCCCTCCATACCCTTCGAAACAGAGGCTGACGATGAGGATTTAAGTAAACCGCCGTAGAGTTGGCATGCTCAGGCACGTATTACTGCCCATCATGACCATTACTTAGGGTTTAGGGTTTAGGGAGATTCGTATTGGGACAACTATAGAGACTTTAATTGGGATCATATGGGAGTTTCGTGGAGGCAGCGATACTCGCGGTCCCCCTGAGGCTCCGAGCAAAATGGCCCCCATAACAGGTAAACCAGCAGTAACGACATCGCCCAAACTTCACTACCAATCGCCAAACCTATCAAAAGGGGAACCCCAATATAGACCCGAGAATATTATAATCCTTACTTAAGGACCCCTAGAAGGGTACCTCTCATTTTTTGAAACCCCTTTTTGTAGCTATATAACCTCCATTTATGGGGCATCTTCCCCAGGCTTATCTCTACTCCAGCGTGGCCTTTCTGCAGTTCTGCAAGCAGGGCAACATTGCTTTCATCTTCTTTGCCTCCTGCCTCCTGGGGCTCCAAACCTTCAGCTGGCCGCAGCTGGATGTCTGTTTAGGGTTTAGGGTTTGGAAACATTTTCTATGAGCAGTATGTATCGACAGTATGGTAAAGTCGTTTGTGTTCATCGACAGCAACCCAGGAAGTTGCTTATCCTGTCCATCGTGGTCACTGGCTGCTGGTCTCAAATTCCCAGGTCAGAACCTGAAAGCCTGAACCCTCAAGCCTGCCCCAAAGTCTACCCTAAACCCTCAACAACCCTTAACCCTAAGCCCAAAAACCCAAAACCTAAAACCCCAAAACCCCAAAGCCTAAACCCCAACACCTAAAACCCTAAAACCCCAAAGCCTAAACCCCAAACCCTAAACCCCTAAACCCCTAAAAACCTAGAACCCTAAACCCCTAAACCCCTAAGCCTTAAAACTTCTAAACCCCTAACTCCTCAAGCCCTAAACCCCT